ACAAAATACATCAAACGCAATTTACTATGGTGACGTACCACAAGGTCCATGGTTTAGTGGTAATGACCTAGGAATGGGAGAATGTCCTAATTATCCCCCTAAAAAATGGCATTGTAGCAAATATGCTTATGAAATACCAATTAGAAATACAAGCAGTTGGTTTTTTATAGAAGAGTATGAAGTATTTCAAATTTGTAAAATTTAACACATTCTATTTAATATATAGAGTATATTGTTTTTGCAAATACATGTTTTTATTATAAATGCATGCTTAATGAATATATATTATATGTGTGTATAACGAGTCCTTATATAGTATAATGTTAGTTGATAAATATGTCATCATCAAAAGTAATGTTGAGACTCTGCAGATCATGATGTCATGTAAAGGCATGAAAAATCAGCCGATTCTAGTAGATTTTTCGATTCTTGGAGAATTTTAAAGATTTCGAATAAAATATAGACGTTATTGATTGAAAATTATGATCAATATTTTCCGCTATCATCATCACGAAATTACAGGGTCACACCTTTTTGCAAACCGCTGTAATCAACTAATCGATTGATCGATTAGTTAGCAATAATCGATTTGTAATCGATTTTAAAAGATTTTCAACTAACTAATCGATTACATTTTTGCTCTGATTCATAACACTAAATAAAGGCATCCAGATTTATCAACCCTTTCTTGAATGGAAAGTTAATATTAAGCGCTTTTTGTCCGTCGCATTTAAATCTTTTAAAAGCTTGATTTATTCATCAATTTAATTTTTCTTATATGATAAAACCAGATTAATTATTTAATACTTATAAATATTGTGCCTAGAACTCTAAATAAATAAACATCAATAACTGATAACTTATTAAAGCACGTATTTAAATATGTAAGTATTTCAGATTAACCAAAGATCACATGTAATTATATAATGTACCTTCAGTATACAGTTTTGTGGTGTACTCTTCAGTAGGAAATACTATCTTTAGTTCCAAACCATATAGTTCAATATTTGCATTGTAAAGAAAAATAATTTGTTTGTCCATCAAGTTGTCAACGAATTTAACATCACATCAACTTGAGAGATCATTATTTCGTACCATAGCATGATAAAATTCCACGTAGAATTTTTCTATCACATAAAACGTATTCTATATATTGTACCTTGAATTTAATTTACTGTACTATTATTATTAATAACGATAATGCATAGACCATTGCTTTCACTCATAGTCCGTAACGTTATGAGTAATGAGGATTATGAATTATCAGCACATTCTGTTATAAAAATTTTGTCAAATTTTTCTTAAGCTTTCCCTTTTTTAAATTCTTATTTTCGAATGAATAATGTAGTAGGTTCGAAACCTTAGAACTGGGTTTGAGATCAAGATGAGGATTTGAGACCCCAGCTGAGGGTTTGAGATTCAAGATGAGGGTTCGAGATCCAAGATGAGGATTCGAAACCCTCAAAGCTAACAGCTATAATATATAAATATAACGCTTAAACTAATAGAGATAGTTAAAACTAATTACCCTAAAATAAATAAGTAAATAACATGCTTTGTGATTAACATTCTCTTACCTGCCAACTAACTTAAATCCATAAAATCCGAGTCTATTACTGATAAGAAAATTCACTTTGTATAACATATGCTATGCTCAGAGATGTATTGTATAAACTCTCTCAATCTTGGGCCAATAGGTATGTACGTACTGTACATACGTACGTCCGTCCGATTTGACTTTTTGTCATACACTGTACAATAATAAAAAACATACCGGTACAGTACTTTCCGGAATTAGTAAAAATGGGCGTAAAAATTTTTGACAAGCTTTCTCAAGACTTTACACAGCTTCTTGAAAATGAATATGATTATAATGTAGTTATCGAAGTTGGTAAACGACCAAATATCAAACTCTTCAAAGCACATTCAGCAATCTTGTATCAACGTTCATTGTACTTTCGTCAAATATTAGCAAATGCGATTAAGAAAAACAATGTTATTGAAATTAAAATACCAAATCATTCTGTCGAAGTATTCGATATTATTATTAGGTAAATTATTAAATTAACACTATTTTGAATTAATTTTATTGCAAAATATTAAGACTTTCACATTAACGATGTAGATATATTTACAGTGGCTTAATCCCCTTGGAAAATTTTGAAACTTCAATTATATTTGACCTATTAATTACTATAAATGAATTTAAGCTTATAGAATTAGTTGAACATATTCAATCTCATCTTATTGATAATAGTGCATTTTGGCTTCGTTTAAATTTTTCTCGAATTTATCAAATAAGTTTCGATAATGAAAACTTTAAAACTTTACAACAATTTTGCAATGACATCCTTGTAAAGCGCCCTAGTATAATTTTTAATTCCGATGAATTTTACACACTTCAGGAGAATGCTTTGATTGCACTTTTAAAAAATGATGATTTGCAAATGGAAGAATCAGAAATTTGGGATAAAGTTATTCAATGGGGAAAAGCAAGAACTCCAGACTTACCATCTGACCTCGAAGAATGGACTAATGAAAATTTTAAGTCTTTAAAAGTTACGCTTCAGCACTGCCTTCCTCATATTAGATATTTTCAAATTCCTAGTAAAGACGTGTTAAGGAAAATCCATCCTTATCAAAACATCCTTGAAAAAAATTTATGGGCTGATATTCTAGCAAAACATTTAGACCCAGATATGCCTATTACTTCTCTAATTTTACCTCCTCGCCAAAAAGCAACGATACAACTTCCTCCTCGAAAAGCGTCTATTATTACACCGTCTTCTTCCATAATCACATTAGAGCATGCAGCAGAAATTTCATCTTGGATTGACCGACGTTCATCAATTTATGATATTACAGAAATTCCATATGAATTTAAACTTTTACTTAGAGGTAGTAGGGATGGGTTTACAGGTGAAATATTTCATAGGTTATGTGATAATATACCTGGTACTGTAGTTGTTTTGAGGGTCATTGATACGAATGAGATACTTGGTGGTTATAATCCTCTTATTTGGAAAATTGGTTACGAATATGGAACGACAGCTGATAGCTTTATTTTCTCTTTGAAAAATGGAAACCTAAATCAATCTATCCTTAGTCGTGTACAAAATACATCAAACGCAATTTACTATGGTGACGTACCACAAGGTCCATGGTTTAGTGGTAATGACCTAGGAATGGGAGAATGTCCTAATTATCCCCCTAAAAAATGGCATTGTAGCAAATATGCTTATGAAATACCAATTAGAAATACAAGCAGTTGGTTTTTTATAGAAGAGTATGAAGTATTTCAAATTTGTAAAATTTAACACATTCTATTTAATATATAGAGTATATTGTTTTTGCAAATACATGTTTTTATTATAAATGCATGCTTAATGAATATATATTATATGTGTGTATAACGAGTCCTTATATAGTATAATGTTAGTTGATAAATATGTCATCATCAAAAGTAATGTTGAGACTCTGCAGATCATGATGTCATGTAAAGGCATGAAAAATCAGCCGATTCTAGTAGATTTTTCGATTCTTGGAGAATTTTAAAGATTTCGAATAAAATATAGACGTTATTGATTGAAAATTATAATCAATAGGGAATTAAAATCTCGGAAATTTTTCCGCTATCATCATCACGAAATCACAGGGTCACACCTTTTTGCAATCCGTTATAATTGCAGCTTAACAATTATTGCGCTTTGCAAAAAGATGTGACCTCTGCAAATCACAATTTCTCGTGAAAATCGGAGATTCTGTAGATTAAAAATCTTATCGATTTCAAATAAATATAAATATAATTGAATTATAGACAATCTAGAATCTCGGAAATTTTCCTCTTTCATCAGCACAAAAATCATCTTTTTGCAAAGCGCTATAATTGATTAGTTGCAATTAGTTGTTCAACTGAAAAAATAGTTACTCAACTAATCGTTTGAAAATTTTTTGACGATTTGTAACACTAATTTTTATTTTTATTTTTTTTTTTTTTTGAACCTGTGAAATCACAGGACGCTGGGAAGCGTACTTTATTAAGTCAAATTTTGCTAAATACATAGTGTAACACTAATTCAAACACTCATCATAACAATATTCTTTTTTTTTTTGGCTAACGTATGTTTTCAAGATTCAATCAAACGACTCATGATCAGAATGTTATATCTTCGTATTTCCACGGTTATTATTGAAGTAAGAAATTTATTTGTTTTATTAAGCCAAAGATCTTCAATATTTTTTTTTCTTATGCACGTCATCACTACTGATTTATCGTATTTAATTTAATAGCTAATTTCATTAAATATCCACTCAAGTTATTCTTCAATCGGTGGAGATTGAAAAATAACACTTATCAACGAATTTTGTGATTGACGCAGAACATATTAACCGGTAATTGCTTACCGGCATTTCAAAGAAAGTCTACCCTAACACTAAGGCTTTCGTAAATTTTATTGATAATCTACTTCTAGCTAACGTTAGCAGGATCTCAAATTATCCTAAAGTAGGCGAGAGGAGGCCAAACTCGTCTAAATTTTGGTCAAATTTAAATTTTAATTAAATTTTAACTAGAATTCAGACGAGTTTGGCCCAAAAAAATACCCAGTTTAAGCTCAAACTACTTTAGGATTATCCGGGGTCCTACACTAATTATATATCAGGCCAATCTTAAATGATTCCAACGTTATCAACGAAATAATTGTCGGCAAAATAGATTATAAAATTGATCTATACCGTTATCATGACTCAAATCTAAATTCCATTCCTGGTTTTAGCACGCAGTCAACTAATTTTATTGATTTTAAATTTCAATATACAGTTTTTGATAAATACTATATGTTCATTTTCTGTTATTAATCATGTATATCTTATTTTAAAATTAATAAAGTTTTGTGGGCTTCGAAAAATTAAAAGCTATTGTTATTTATCAAGATAAACGATAGAAATTATTTATTTAATATAAAAGAGATAAATAGCCTTATGAAAAAAAAAAAAAAATATCATTTATTGCCCCATTTTTTGTAAGCATATTGTTCAAAAGTAGTAATATTTGGATGTAAAACTTTAGCAATCGAAATGTCGCTAATTTCCTTGTCGGAGCCAAAAACTCCGTAGTCATTATACCAACGAAACTATTGAAGATTATACATTGATAAATACTTTATTTTTGTTATTATTCTTTATATTAAAAAAAAATTAGCCTGAATTACATACCATATAGAGTAATTCTTCACTAGCCAAGAAGGGAAATTCCATTTTAGTTTCTTCGAGATTGGTACTGCGAAGTTTAAATTGTTTTCCGGTAACTGATAGTTTCATAAAAAGAAATTTTTCCATTTAAGAATTAAATAGATAGAAAAAAATAAAATAATAAAATAATTTATTAGAAACTTACCCTTGGTCAATATTTCTGCAATTTTTCCAAAAGAAATACGTTCTGAAGCAACAGGAACTTTCTTTCCATTCCACTTTTTTGGTCCTTCTTCAATAACTTTGGCTACAACGGGCTGGGAATATTTATATAAATTATTATTTCTGTAAAGCCTGTTAATATAATAGTAATATAATTACTTACGCCAGTGTCGGCTTCAGCGTCAACAATTTCAAAAGTGGTGTTTTCTTTGACCAACGGAACAACAAATTCGGATGTTCCATCATCTTTTGTAATAATTGGAAAAAATGTACCAAAATTCGAGGCATAGACACCAACGTAGATAAATGTGGAGTTCGGAATACCCAAAGTTCTAATATATTTTTCGACCCGATTTTTACCTATATATTTAAATATATTAATATTGTATAAAGTCTATATAATAAAGTGTCATTTCTTACCGTAAAAATGTGTGACATTGTAATTTAATCCCTCGAGGGTCTCAGGAAGAGAACTTAATGTAAATATGAAATAAGGTTAGTCTCGTGAAATAGAAAATGTTTATTTTATAACATAACATACCTATAAATAAGCCAATTCAATCCGACTTCTTTAGCGACGTCAGCAATCATTTTACCTTGTCTTTCTTCTTCAGCCGTGTTGTTTGGGTAAATAGACTAATATAATAATCATGATGGTTATAAAAATAGTTATTGTTATATAATTAATGAATGAAATTTCTTTGTTACCGAATCCCAGAAATTGGTGACTATAAATGCGATATCAGCACCATTAAGTGCATTCTTGACATCTTCTTTAACGGCAAGGTCAGCTTTGAAAACTTCGACACCCTTTGCAACAAGGGCTTTTGCTTTATCAGATTCAGGTTTACGTGTAAGAGCGCGGATTCTATATTTTCCTGTTGCAAGCAGAGAATTGACGACAGATCCTCCTGCGGATATGCGATTCAAAAAAACGTATATTTTTCGTAAGTTTATTATTAAAATGTTATGTTTTGTGCAAACACGAGTAAATACCTTGAGCACCTAATTATGTAAAAAAAGTCATTATAACATTAATAAATACTATTAAATACGATTAATTATTATTCATCAAAATGTATTACCAGTAGCTCCACTGACGACTACCAAAGGTTTTTGAGATGACATATTGGAATTTTGATTTTTTTTTTTTTTAATGTTTTAATATTATATGTTTTAATATTATAGTTATAGTAGTAATAATAACCCGAAAATAAAATTAAAAAATTGACACCAGAAGAATATTCACTCCTATTTATATCTTGAAATTTGGCATAAATCTATACCAAATTCTAACAAGAAGATAAGTAAACTGATTAGTAATCATGTGTTAAGTTTTCCTTTTTGATACATAACTTCTAAAATTGATTAATAATCGTATGCATATGAGGCATAAATCATAGCAACATCCAATAAAAATCCTTTGTTTTTAATATTTATTGTCACATGATCATTTAAATTTTCACATAATGTGCGTTTACTACTACTAATCGTCGAAAACCATTACATTCATTTATTTGGACTATTCTAGCGGTAATTTAGACTGGTGTGATTTTTTATTACAACTGTATTCATTATTTTTGAGACATCTGAAAAATTTTTGACAGCCGAATCGATAAGTTACCGAATCGGAATCAATAAATTACTGACTTCGACCGACATCATAAACTTATCGATTAAGTCATCAACAATTTTTCAAATGTCAAAAATAATGAAAAACAACATGATCAGGAAGGAGTAATTGGCTAGGTTAGCTGGAATTGAGATGATATCTCGCAAAAGTAGCAATCGTGATTGCACTGAAAGCCCGTAACAACAGCCGGTAGTTTCCTGCAAGTAGGTCTTCGTAAAGACCGGGACCGGACTGTAAAAGACTGAAGAATGATTTTTTGTATTTTTATGAAATAAATCTATTAAAAATTTGCTGCTAATTAATAAAAATTTGGCTCCTGATAAATAAATAAAAGTTTTAACGTTATGTATAAGTCGTGAGACCAATTCTTGGACTGAAAGACGGACCGACCGGACTGAAAAACATTATAAAATCGGTCCAATATGGACTGGGTGGTTCGCAATAATTTTTGGATCAAGCATTAATGTTCCGATTCTGTTATTATCACATGACATACTACCGCTTCGCATTAACGTTTAACTATTGATACCATGTTTGCTAATTAAAGTCTATATGATGGTGTCAATTAAATCAAAGGCCGCATTATTCAGCTTTTGTTGATTTATAATCTTATTACTCGATGAATCCCCGGAATTCTAACAATAGATTAGTTTTTTGCTTACCAATTAGCTTAATTCAGCTTTGAGTAAACCCCGTTTCCCTTTGACCAATTATCTTCTTCATTAGTATTATTAATATTATTAATATTACGTAAATTTTCCATTTTTCCGAAGAATGAAATCATAATGCATTTACGCGCTGATTTTTACTAAACATGGGCAAGGGCAGTGCTCCGAACGGGTCGGTTTGTCAATCTTTCGGGTTGGGCTTCGAACCGACCGACATGAAATTTTAGAGCCAATATATTAAATTTAATTTTTTAAAAATTTGAATTAAACTGCCCTTTTGCTCTTAAATGTTTAAAAGTTCATGTAACGATATGCATTGTGAGCCGCAGAATTGTGACCTCAGGATCACGTGAAAGGAGTGATCGGTGTGGCGTAGTATCAGTTTAGTGGTGTTGCAACCGGCGGAAGATCTTGGACCAATTTAGCTTCGATCGTGAACAAATAGTAATTAAGGTTAAATGGTTTAAATCAATAAACTAACACACACAATTACAGGTTATGGGGTTTTTCTTTATACCAATACGATCACATGAAATGTGGAAGGATTGTTCCGTTCAACTTTTTAGTGCGCTATATTTTTCCTGATTTAGAAGGCATTATGATTATAATTTTTTCCTCTATTTTAGTAGCTATTTGTGCGATATTTTGATTTGTAATTATTACATCATGATCGTATGTCATGATTATTATATAATATTATCATAAATGGATTATTACTACATCTTTGTGATTAATAATATCTATATCGGGTGTAGAGTGAGAAAATATAGTAGTGATCATTTTATTAATAAAGTGGGAGGGGATAATGAACAAATAACGAAGAGGTAATAGAAGGTTGAACGCTGTCACGGGGTAAATTGTGGCTTGTTTTATTTTTTTTGGCGTAATAGATCGAGGTGGCCGGAAAAGATCTGTCAGATACGTATGTCAGATATGTTATGTTAGATATGTTATATATGTTATATAGATAGAATTAGCGAATTAGATAATAGCTGAAAATGTATATAAAGGCTAAGAGTTCGCCTTGAATAAAGTAATCTATAGTTATCGCAAGTTAATGTTTTGCGCAAATAATTCATAATAGTTCGTTCTTCTACTTCCCTAATAATAAACTTATAATCCTGTGATTCCTAATTAGAGCTTCGTGACGTAGTCTAGAGCTCTATTTGGCCCTAATAACTCGGACCAAGTCTTTCCACGCCTCTTTCGTGCCTTCCACCCTTAGGGTTTAGTTAGAGTTTGGTTGTTAGAATGTTGATTTGGATCAGTTTAGTTTTAGTTGATATTCGTGAGGCCCATATTTTGAGATTCCGGATTGATTTTGCCCCTCACAACGCACGGAACAGCAACTATCATTAAACCCGAAACCCTTCAAAACCACTCATACCGCATAATTTATATATTCTGTAGTGCTCAAAGCTACACTAGTTGAAGTCTATACAATAATTAAAGAATTTCAAAAAGAACAACATAATGTTAATAATGAAATTGAGAAGATTCTTCAGGGTGAACAGCGATCATACCAAAAAAAAAATCAATTGATTAAGAAAAATGAATTATAACTATTTTAAATAACCAATCAAATCATATAGTTATAGATTTTCTTAAGGCAATCACTCACAATATTGCTTTATATATGTATATTTATATTTATAAATAAACTAGTGAAAGCATTGCATAAAATATTACATTGACTTCTTCAAATCTTAGTATCAATTTAACTTGCACATGTAGAAGGGAAAAAAAATATTAATATTAAAAATAATTTTAGAATTTTAGATACAGTATTACTATATATTATTTATGCACAATAAAAATTAGTATAAGAAGTCAATTTTTTAAAAGAAAAAATTAAATAGTAAAACAATAAAAAGATATTAAATATATTGATACTATATAAAATTATAAAATTTTTATTATACTTCAGGTTTAGTGATTATAATTGATATTTTATATGCTAGCATCTATTAAATTTTATTTTACTTTATCAGCTAGTACATACTGTATGCATAGCTCTTTTTCTGGCATCTGATTGGCTGAAACAAGTGATCAGAAAAAATTTTAACATACAGTACATACAGTATGTACCATACAGTAAATATAGTACTGTACACGGCACATCACTACTTCAGCTATTACTACTTTTACCACAGTTTTAACCAACATCACCAACTGATTTTCACCTTCCATCCTCTTTTGACTTCACAACTCAAGTTGTGTTCAATTTTTTTAATTTTATTTTTTTCTAATAATGATCTTTATTTGTTACTAATTATCCATGAATCAATTTTGGGCGAATGAGGCTGTTCGATACCCAGGTCCTTCCTTGTCATATAACTTTACAGTTATGAGTCTTTGGCTCGATTCCACAGAGTCAGAGCTCTCGCTTTTGCATTAGTGTATCATACAAGGCACTACCACCTCAACTACTGTTTATACTAAAAGCGTTTATTCACAAAGCAAACACTAAACTAACTCACGTATCGATCCCTTTGGGGGTATTTTATTACCAGGTTACACACATTATGCAATACATATAAATAGACTTTAAACTAGGTAAATGGGAGTCCATTTAAGTCCAAAGGAAACAATACGGATCAGTCCGACAAGACGGTTATTTTCGGAGCATAATAGTTGGTTTGACCTGATCAAGCAATCAAACCCCAGAATTTGCGCGCATACACACAGGCATCAGGGTCACTATTCCTCTACCGTAATGTCCTGACAATTAAATTCATGCAAATCCCAGGTATTATCGGGTAACAGATCATACCTAACCCTAGCAATCCGAGTACAGGAGGTTTGATAGATTTAATTGAATTGTATTTTGAAAACGTATATTTATTTATTATTAATAATTTTCAATTAAGATTCAGCGAAATTCAAGTTATCTAATAATTTGAAGTTGAAAAAACGATATGGAAGAACATTCGCATGTCATCTGTCCATGTATAACTTTCTTTAGCGATAACAGTTAATTCGACTGTTTTTACAATCAAATGATGAACCGAATTGAAAATTATCGATCAGCATAAAAAACACTTCATGAAGTATAGCTTATTTATTGTCGCGGATTATGGTGAAATCAGATCATCGTGAAATCTAGGGCCTTAATTTAAAAATATAAGCCCTCGCAACCCTAACAAAACCTACTTATACTCTTTTATCATAAACCTTAACCCTAAACACTAGTCCAGATTCAAAAAAAAGCCTAAAAAAATATACACCAAAAAATTTTAAAAATTGGAATTTCACGATGATCCGGATTTCACTATCATCCGCGACTCTTATTATTAATTATACATGTATAATATAATAAAAGTATTATTAATATTACTCTAACATTGATGTTTGACCTTCTTGAAAAGTCTTATAACCTCCACAGCAAAGAGAATTGTTAAAAATATTGAATTAAGCTTCAAACTGATTCAAAATATGGTAGATGACATAAAAAATCTTGAACCAAGCAAAAAAAACCTTCCAAAAACCTGGAATAAACGAAACAAGAATACTTTCTATTAATAATAAATTCAAAATTCATGTTACAGTATATAAAGTTAGATAACAAAGCTCACAGAATAATTTCGAATGAACAGTGGCATTTTCTTTAAAGCAATAAAAATCTTTTACAATTAAAATTTTAAAATTTATCGTTATAATATCTTACGCAATATACCTTTTATAATAAAATTCTTATAATAAAAATTTTAAATCGTTATAATATCTTAATAAAAGTTTTTATCGTTGTATATAACAGTATAATATGATAAAATGTGTTGGATTACAAGATCTCAGATTTAAACTGCGATTACGTAACTAATTTTGGT